ATGCAGTGAGGTTTTTACCCACGAAAGCTTATGCCCAAATAAATCTGTTAGTCTTTAAGGTGCCACCAGACTCCTTGTTGGTATTCACCAGGAGCTCTGAAGGGACTCAGAAATGAAATTGCAGAACTGTAGTAACCTGTAACTGAAATCAGTCTCTATACCAGATGACTGAAAGGTAATTAATGTAACACGGAGTTTTAAACAGGACTCCAGAGGAGATTTTGGGAATTACAGGCTGGTAAGTCTAATGTACCGGGAAAACTGATATAAATGATTATAAAGGATAGAGTCATCATACACACAGAAAAACACAATTTGTTGGGCAAGAGTCAACACAGCTTTTGTAAAGGGATGTCATACCTCACCAATCTATGATAATTCTTTGAGGGAATCAACAAGCATGTGGATAAGGGTGATCCAGTCAATATACTGTACTTGGATTTTCAGAATGTCTTTGATAAAGTCCCTTATTAAAGGCTCTTATTAAAACTAAGGTCTGGTCTACAATACAGACCTATATCGGTATAACTGCATTGCTCAGGGGTGTGAAAAATCCATATCCCTGAGCAACGTACTTATCCCAGCCTAACACCCCATGTAGACAGTGCTATTTTGGCGGGAGAGCTTTTCCCACTGACATAGCTACTGCTTCTCAGGAAGATGGATTAACTAAGATGATGGGAGAGCTCTCTTTCCTCAGCTTAGAGCATCTTCATTAAAGCACTACAGCGGTGCAGCTGCGCTGATGTGGCATTTTAAGTGTAAACGTGCCCTAGGTAGCCATGGGATGAGAGGGTAGGTTTTCTCATGGATTAGTAACTGGTTGAAAGATAGGAAACAACAAGTAGGAATAAATGGTCAGTTTTCATCAGTGGTGGGCAACCCCATGTGGCCCGTCAGGGTAATCCGCACGTGGGCCACAAGACAGATTGTTTACATTTGCACGGCTGCCCACAGCTCCCAGTGGCTGCAGTTTGCAGTTTTCATCATGGAGAGAGGTGAACAGCAGTGTCTCCTAAAAAGCTGAACTGAGACTAGTCCTGTTCAACATACTCAATGATTTGGAAAAGGGGGTGAACAGTGAAGTGGCAAAGTTTGCAGATGATACATTCTTCAAGATAGTTCAGTCCAAAGCAGACTGCAAGCGGTTACCGAGGGATCTCACAAAACTGGGTGACTGGCCAACAAAATGGCAGATGAAATTCAATGTTCATAAATGCAAAGTAATGCACATTGGAAAACATAATCCCAGCTATACATGCAAAATGATGGGGTCTAAATTAGCTGTTACCACCCAAGAAACAGATCACGGAGTCACGGTGGATAGTTTTCTGAAAACATCTGGTCAATGCACATTAGCAAACAAAAAGGCTAACGGTATGTTAGGAACTATTAGGAAAGGGAGAGAAAATTAGACAGAAAATATCATAATACTACTATATAAATCCATGGTGCAGCCACACCTTGAATACTGGGTCAAGTTCTGGTCACCCCACCTCAAAAAGGATATAGTGGTACTTGAAAAGGTTCAGAGAAGGGCAACAAGGATGGGGTAACAGGGGTGCTCTCTGCGCCCCGCTGGGTTCAGCCTCCTGGCCCTGCTCCCCAATGAGTCAGGACCACTTCAAGCTGGTGCAACACCCATGCTCTTTATTCCTGTGTCCAGTCCCCACCATCAAGCTCCAACTATTTACAGATTATTAGAGGTTTGGCCTAGCACAGGCCACAGTGGCAATGGGGTAGCAGGTTCCTGGCTCCTTCTGAGCCTACTGTTCCCTCCTGGTCTCCAGACCCCCCTCCCTCCCCCGTACTCACTTTCACCCAAGCTTTTAGCCCCTGTTAACGAGGCTGGCAGGTGCGGCCAGTTTCCAGGCCAGTCCTAGCTAGTGGCCCAGCCCCAACCCATTTCCCCTGATTGGTCTGGAGTGGCAGGAGCTGAGTAGGGCTTTCCCTACAGCACCCTGCCACAGATAGTCAGTGGTATGGAGCAGCTTCCATACTAGGAGAAATGAAAAAGATTAGGGCTGTTCAGCTTAGAATAGAGACAACTGAGAGAGGATATGACAGAGGTCTATAAAATCATGAATGGTGTGGAAAAAGTGAAGAGAGAAGTGTATTTACCTTTTCACACAATATAAAAACCAAGGGTCACCCAATGAAATTAATGGGCAGCAGGTTAAATACAAACAAGAGGAAGTACTTTTTCACACAATGGACAACTAACCTGTGGAACGCATTGCTATGGGATGTAGTGATG